CTCCCTGAACCTGGTTCTGCCGAAGGTTTTGTCTCTTTAAGGGGAGTTTTTTTGGAGTTTTTTTAATCCCACTGTTGCGTTCTCTCTGCGATATAATATTGTAAGGTCTTGACCTCACGACATAATGACTTATGTTGTGGATTAACACTATATCAAAAGAAATTGCATTGAATTTAATCCATATTGTTGTATGATTGTACGTATTTTTGTAAGCTGTCCTACAGAAATAAAACTCTTAAATTCACATACACCTTTGATTAAAGTCAAAAATGTTAAATTAAAAGCCATTTCCAGAGTTTCCATGTTGACTTAAAAGACAGCAGGACAATTAAATAGATTACTGCTGATTGGTTTGGACAAAACGAAACAACTTCTCGTCCATAAATTAACCAGCGAAAGCAAAGTTCAAATACAAGTCAGGCTGTATTTGTTTATTCATTTGATTATTTTATTTTCAGTTTATATGGGTTACACTTTTTTTTGTTGCCTTCATTAAGGCTGATGAGAAAACATGAAGGATTTTTCATGGATTTGGAGAATCTGGAGCATGAAAGTCATCGTAAAGTCCAACACCGGTGGATAAAAATAGAATAAAGGAAAATCAAAGGGAAAAAAAACATTTGCACCCAATATTTGCCGAGTTGCTGAGTTTGTGTTTTGATCGATATAAAAAGCATGTTTGCCCGGCCTTTACATAACAAAGTTGGAGCTCAACCAAGACATCTGACGGAGAGAGAAGCGTTGAGGGAGTCGGCATTACTACAGTGAACCTTGTAGTTTTTCACAGATGTGACTTAAACACTGCATATTAAACAAGCCTTGTCTCTCCATAAAGCCTGAGGCTGAATAAAGGCTGAATAAATAACCGTGACAAATAACGCAACCTTCTGATGTTTTGTTTGTGTGCTGTGAAGTACAACACAACACAATAATCAGCTGAGCGTATTTTTTGATTGCCATCTTTCTCACTGTGGTGTTTCTTTCTTTCTTTTCTTTTCTTTTTTTTTTTGTTCCCTCCTGCCCTCGATTGCTCAGATGTACCAGACAGGAAGCTGACATCAGACGAGGAGGAAGCCAAGCGGATCGCGGAGATGGGGAAACCGGTGCTGGGGGAGCACTCCAAGCTGGAAGTTATTATTGAGGAATCATACGAGTTTAAGGTGGGAAAGGTTGCTCTTCAAACGGAGGAAACATACCTTGATCGTCAATAAAAAAAACAGAGTTTCCCTTGCAGTCAAGCAGAAAGCAGATCATCAGGCAGTAAGACTGATGAATCACTGCCAAAGGACTTAATGCAATCCTGCACTACTCTATAGGTTTTTGCACATGTCAACCTTTGCACTATGCTTTCTTCTGCACATGCCTTTTTGCATATTCAGCATCACCTACCTCAGTACATCCTAACTTTTCTGCACCATAAATATGTTTTGCCTTTCCTGCACTCGTCCTCTACATTCATATTTGCTACCTCGGTATATATGAGCAGACGTAAGTGTGTCTGAATAAGTGAACTAAGATTTTCATTGCACTGATAACTTGTTTATCGCTGCGTATGACAATAAAGCCTTTGAATCCTTTGAATCCGAACTAATCCCACCTTGCATGAGAGGACGGCGACACATTTCTAATTTCAGCGGAGAAATGTTACTCCTCAGAGGCCTCCCAAGCCCACGCAGATTTATTTCTGGAGGAGAAGCATCCTCTAACCTCCTCAATCAAAAAAAAACATATCCCCACCATGTTTGTTTCTGTATTGTGTTTCAAACCGGGCTTTCTGGAACTGGATGGTACTGCCATCATGTGGTGAAGCTCGTGTATTTCTCTTCAGGAGCCTCTCAGGATGCAGATTAGAGATTCTGAGAGTAAATAATGGATGGATTTGATTCGTGTTTTGTTGTCGTGTCATGCAGAGCACAGTGGACAAGCTGATCAAGAAGACCAACCTGGCTCTGGTGGTGGGAACAAACTCCTGGAGAGACCAGTTCATGGAGGCCATTACAGTCAGCGCAGGTAATGTTTTCAGCTCCAGGAGGCTGATAGTGGATTTTGATGTGTTGATTCATAACATTCACCTTCATTTCAACATGAGCTGCATTTCTCTAAATGTCAAGCCGAGCTCTTAAACCCTGACAAACCGTTTTTGCATCAGATAATCAAACTTAAAGATGGAGAATATCATCGAACGCAAATAGTTGTTCCCGCTGACTTGAGTCTAAAAATATTGGTGTCAGTATCCGACCTTCAAAGACACACATCAGTTAAATTCTCCCAGGTGCGCCGCTCTTGAAGCTGTGGAATAATCTCATGTACAAACCTCATCCATCACGTCAAACAGCAGCAGCATCAGATCCTCAGCCTGCAGTCACAGCTACTATGACGGCCCGGGTTTGTCACTTTGCTGCTGAAATATTTAATCCGGTGATGGTCTTTATTTTTTCATGACCCACTCGTAGCTTAAAAATGCATGCAGCTTGCACGGCCCTGACACTTTGAATCATCGCAGCGTCCCTGCTTGTCCCCTGAGCTTCCTGTGAGCTGCCGGGACACAGAGGACGCCTCCACCTGGGGAGGGTGACCACGTACTTTTTTAGCTGTGAAAAGATGACGCTTTTATCCAGAGGAGCTCACAGCGTGCAAGGTTAAGTGTCCTGCTCGAGCTCACTTGGACAGAACCTGCAGCTGCTGTGGTGACTGGGACCATTTAGATTATGGGAAAATCGCTCCGTGGCCACTTGGTCATCCTGCAAAACAGTCACAGCAGATACACAAAACTGCAGCAGTGATTAGAGTAAACATAGGATGTGTCCCGAAACCTCATACGAACTGTCATAGTGGAAGGTTAGGTACCAAAAACATACTTACTCAGCATTTTAAACGAGCAGGCTGTTATTTGGAAACATGCATCACTGGGCATTAATGAAACTGCAACTTTGGAAAATCACTAAAATAATTTTTAAGATTTCTTCCTGATCTGTGACCATCAATTTCCAAACACAAGTTTACATACACTTGTAAAGATCATGTGTATCATGGCAGTCTTGCGTTTCCAGTTATTCCTTTAACTTATAATTTTCTATGGTGGAAACATGTCTTTCTCACAAAAAAAACAATCATGCATGTTAATTATTTTATAGATTTATTGTAGGTCAGCTGGAAATATATCAAAAATCTGCTGGATTAAAAACATACATACAGCAACTTGTACGTCCGTTTGATGATGTGGAAAGCTGCGTTGACCAAATATTCTCAAAGCGTGGCCTCTTAGCTTCTCTCCTCCTCTGAGCCAATTTAAACAAGACCCATTTGATAAACTCACTAGACTCACAAACACTACAGTGGGAAAGTCTAAGGAGCTCAGCACGGACCTGAAAAAGCTAATTATGGACTGCAACAACACGGACACCAAACCTCCCATCAAGCACGGTGGTGGCAGTATCATGCTCTGGGGCTGTTCACTGCCATCAAAACTGGTGCTTTATACAGAGAAAATGGAAAAAATGGAGGAGGACTACTTCTGCATTCTTTAGGAAAACTTGAAGACATCAGCCAGAAGGTTTGGTCTTGAATGCAGTTGGGTGTTCCAACATGACAATGACCCTGAACACTAATCAAAAGTGGTAAAGAAATGACTAAATCAGGCCGGAATTAATGTTTTAGACTGGCCTTCCCCATGTTTGTGTCAGAAACCCAACAAATTCTGCCAATTCTGTCAAGAGGGGGGTTAAAGATTCAACCAGAAGCTTGCAGACGGTTACCACAGAAGACCTCATTGAGGCTAAAATGGCCAAAGGATATTTAACCTAACATTAGCATTGCTGTATGTCTATTTTTGACCCAACAGATTTTGTCATATTTCCAGCAGACCTAGAATTAATATACTGAGGACAAAAATGCATGTTTGTGACAAAGGCAGGTGTGTTTTCATGGTTCCATCACAGAAAATTCAGAGTTATAGGAATGACTGGACACTCAAGACCGGCCTGTGGAGTCCAGACCTCAAATACCCTGACCTGTTTTAGCCGCATGAGAGGAACCTAAACATTATTATCCAGGTGGTTTTAATGTTATGACTCACTGTGTATTTCAGCACTGGACATACAATCTTCTTAAAACCTGCTTAGAATTAGTGAGAACTTTGGATTTGGGACACACTGTGGGAGTTATTTAGCAGTAAAGTGAGCCAACATCTCAGAACCTATGCCAAGCTACAACTGAAAGTTATGTATCTATTAATTTTGTAAATCAAAATCAGACATCATTAAATAAGGTAGGGTATTCAAGTGTGAAATAAAGTTCATCCCCCGTTTTTTTTTTTGTTTGTTTATCTACAAACTTCATCTCGTCTCTTAAATGACAAAAACAAACGGCTCTGTTAAATAATTAAAAGTCAGCTATGACCTGAATATCCATATCCTCGGGCCGAAGTGATATTGTGGGATGTCTCACGCTGAGAAAATAAGTCGACACGCCATTTTAAGAGAGTTTTGTTCTCTCCCCTCCCTTCTCTGTCACCCCTTATCTCCTTTATGGATCCTTTATCTCGCCACTGTTTTCCAACTCTCCTCTGGCTCTTTATCCTCTCTGCTCCCTTTTAACTTTCTGCTACATCATCCGTCATCACTCTCTCCTTGTCTCTTTCGCTTCCTCATCTGCTCTCCCTGTCCCCTCTTTTAATATTTACTTCCCCTCCTTCACCCCTCTTTCTCTTTATCTTTGTCCAAATATTTTTGCCGTATTTCCATCCTGCCTGCTGCCTCGCTCTCTTCTGTCACCCCCCATTACGTCTCAATCCATCCCACCTTTCACCCTTCCGCCGTCTCGCCCACCAGATGAGGACGAGGAGGACACGGGGGAAGAGCGTCTGCCGTCCTGTTTCGACTACGTCATGCACTTCCTCACCGTCTTCTGGAAGGTCCTGTTCGCCTGCGTTCCTCCCACCGACTACCTGAACGGCTGGGCCTGTTTCGTGGTCTCCATCATCATCATCGGCCTGCTCACGGCCGTCATCGGCGACCTGGCGTCCCACTTCGGCTGCACCATCGGCCTCAAGGACTCGGTCACTGCCGTGGTGTTCGTGGCACTCGGCACGTCCGTCCCAGGTGAACGTCGCGCTGGACACCTTTGTTTAACACGCTGATGTCTATTATGTATAAATCTGTCCTCTGAAAGGTAGTTTGATATTTCTTATGTCAGTTGATGGATTATGCGGCTCGTATTCTGGCTGCGAGAGTTCTGACTTCATGAGCTCAAACCGCAAACATGCTTTGTCATCAGGAGGGCTGATATTCTTATTTCCCCCACATTGACATTTTCACCCGACAGGAACAATATGTCACCCAAAACTGGGACTGCCTCAGCATTTTCTGTTATTAAAGGTCCTATGCGCGCATTAATAAGGCATTACTGCATACAGTTTGAAAAAAAAAAAGATATAAATATTGCGAACAAACAAGCCCAGTGCACAAACTGAGCTCTTTCACTGCAGTTTACTTTGTTCAGTGGAGAATCATGTGGAGCACTTTGACTGATGATAGTTATGGTGGGTAATGTAGTCCTCATTTCTACAGATGCTGGTTGGGTCAAAACAATCAAATTCTATATTTTAACGCTTTTTCTTTACCTGGATGAAAAACATCATGAGGAAAGATGTGGAGGTTTGTTTGCACTTTGTGTCACATTATATTTGTGTGTGGAGTGCTATACAGAAAAGTCTGATTGATAAATCGATTGATTAACTGAAGATACTCAGATACTTTACTGTATATTTTCCGAGATAATCTGCACTCCATATATTGTGCATAGCTGTAGTACCTGGTTGCACCTACAAGTGGAGCCGCTTAATGTTTAGAAAAGCCTTTTTCAGGAGGCAAGAAGAGAGCATTATGGGGGTTTAACTTGTACAGGGCCACCACGACAAAGTCTCCCGTGGAGCTTAATGACATCAGACTGGAGATCATATGTTTGAAACAAGCTGTGATCAACACATATAACAGAGCTGCCTATGTGATCCAAACTGTGCATCTGTTAATGAATCAACTATTGATTGAAAACGCTGCATTATTTAAGAAAATTGCCGAAATGTACATCTCTAGTGTCCTGCCACAAACTGTGCTCTCCTTTTATGACACCAAGGATCAGACTTGAATGTCTTGAATGTCTTGATCAGTCATTGTCACAATCACTGATTTGGTGAGATTGTTTTGTTAATGACATTTAAAATAATGTTAAATGGTGGAGTCTACAATTCTGGAAGGAGATTGTTGGTATTTAGCATACTGAGTTGTTAGCATGTGACAGATTTATCTCTCTTATCTCTCCATCTCCCAGGCTCTAGGTTTGTCTGCCATTTGCAGAGACAGACGCCAACAGAAAGCAAGCAGACCATGATTCTGGCAACAAAAAAAAAAGTGTATTGGATTAGAATCGCACACTCCACTTTTAATCACATTAAAATGGCAATGACAAATGGCTTCTCTCTCCACAGACACCTTTGCCAGTAAGGTAGCAGCGGTCCAGGACACCTACGCAGACGCCTCCATCGGGAATGTGACCGGCAGCAACGCCGTCAACGTCTTCCTGGGAATCGGCATGGCCTGGTCGGTGGCGGCCATCTACTGGCACATGAAAGGGAAGCCGTTCGTGGTGGAAGCCGGCTCGCTGGCCTTCTCCGTCACCCTCTTCACCATCTTCGCCTTCCTGGCCGTGTCGGTGCTGCTTTACCGGCGCCGGGCCCACATCGGGGGAGAACTGGGCGGGCCCCGGGGACACAGACTGGCCACGTCAGCCTTCTTTTTCAGCCTCTGGTTCCTTTACATCCTCTTCTCCAGTCTGGAGGCCTACTGTCATATAGAGGGCTTCTAAACAGCAAAGACTCGAGTGTGACGGAATCAAAAGCGTACAGGGGTTTAAAGTACAACTTGAGTGAATTCTCACTACGGAATTTGGGTCAGTCTTGTATGGTATGAAAGGACAGGAGAGGTAAACCCGGGGTTTCCCTCGACGCCTCCCTCCCTCTCCCTCGCTCTCTCCCTCAACCCCTCCTGTAAGGATGCTTGGAGGTGTGAATCCTGCCCTCTAGTGCCGAACAGGCCTGGCTGATACGAAAGCGGCCCGAGCTAGTGTGCTTACAGTTGGGATTGGGTTACCACCGAAGTCCAGAAGACGCCGATGCCAAGAGGTGGTCCCGCATTCCACTGGAAGAGGCTGCAGTCTTATAAAACGGAGAGAGTTGAGTCAATCAGAGGTCTATATTTTTCTCAACATCTGACGAGAACGACTTTTTTAGAAAAAAAAAGTATTTTGGGGATAAAAACGCAAAAAATAAACCAAACAAAAAAAAAAAAATACAAATCAACACTCACACACATGCAGACACACAAAGAGGAATCAAAGAACTATTTTCTGATCTATGTTAAGGAATAGCATAAAAGATTATATCGAAATATGTTGTTGAGTGACGGCGGGATGGATTCATAGTATTTATTTTTATTTGCATAGTTTCCTAAGGAGCACTGCAGAGTTCTCAGAAATCACACGAAGAAGAAGAAGACGACGACGACGACGAGGAGCGACAGTGACAGTTCACACTGGCAGACGAATCACCATTCAAACAGGAGACGAGGTGAACACAGTGAACATAGTCAAACTGCCCTGAACATTACTTCCGTACTCTAAACGTATCTATATATAATATATTTCCATATTTTCTGTATATTTTGAATATTTGTTTAAATGTGGTCACCTTCTGCTCTAACAGAGGATTGCTGTGGCTAAGCGGGAGGGGAGGGAGGGGTTATAACTATATACTGGAACGATGTCTTCACATTTCTAAGAGTTATGTATCTTGCCTAGGTAAAAGTATGACATTGTATTTTATTTATTTACTGATATCTTGGTCTCACTCGAGTTTTCACCTTTTCAATCAGAAATCCGAACAAGAAAAAGTTAAAAAAAAAACAAAAAAAACAACAACAACAACAACAAAAAAGACAAATCGTGTTGCTGCAGAGATAAATTCAGAGGTATTTTTGTACTGTTCCTTCCATGCACTTTGCTGTATAGTTCTACTTATGGAGACTTCTACTTGTACATGTGCAAAAGGCCAATATGAACGGTGTCACTATGGACTGAACAGAGTGCCTGTGGAGGGAGAGGCGTTCGCTGCCCACACGGACTGACCAGCTCTTTGCTCTGCTACTCAAAAAACTCAAGAGTTTCTTCTTTAAAAGCTGCGTTAATTTTTTTTTTTTGCCTTTTTTTTTCTAAAATACAGTCGAATTTAAGGCCTGATGCCAACCTGTATTTCTAATCTTCTACAGCAGCTGATATTTGAGCTGTTGTTAGCATGCAAAAAGGTGCGTCAGCCTGCAAAATCTCAGTTGGTTTTTTTCTTTTTATAATATAAATACAAACACTTTATTCAAAAAACCTTTTAGTTGTAATCTCCACTTTCTACATTGCATCATCCAGCCATTTTCCTTCTGCTATTATTTCAAACATGTGTGAGCTGGTCGGGCAGGGAAGTAACAGCAAGCTCGTAGTTTGCAAATTGTCTTTGATACGGCTGCTAAAATCCCAAATTTTAAATATCTGACATAGTTTTATTTAGCTTTTAAGTTCCTCTATGGTCATTGATTTAACACCTAAAACCTCAATTCTGTGTATTAAAGTTTCTAAATTGCCAAAATACTCCACCTGTCATGCTACACATTGCATACATTTGTTTCGTAATCACTAAAAATATGAGTTTGTGCAGCTTTAAGTGTTCTCTTTTTCTTATGCATGACATTACAGACCTTGATTTGCTATCTATGTGTCATTTAAATGCTACACCTCACATTGAACATTACTTATAGGGCTTATGAATAGTCTCCCCCCCCCTCTTGGAAGTTTGGTCAATTTAATTTGGCTTTTTTCACAAGAATTTACCTCAAAAAAGACTCTTTCACGTCAAAGTGGAAACACGTTTCTACAAAGTAATGTCAGTTAATTAGAAATATAAAACATAAAATAGGTGACTGCATCAGAATTCTCCTCCTTAAAGTCAGTATTTGGTAGATGCACCTTTGGCTACAGTTACAGCTTTGAACCTGTGTGGATAGGCCTCAGTCAGCCGCAACAGCTGGATACTGAAATTTTACCTGCTTTATCTTTTTTCTGTGACGATCACGAGTGAACAGCCCTTTTCAAGTCCATCCAGAAATTCTCAACTTGATTTAGGTCCGGGTTCTGACTCGGACACTCCAGAACATTCATCTGTTTGTCTTTAAACCATTTCTGTGTAGCTTTAGCTGTTTGATTTAAGTCAAGGTTGTCACATCGCATCAGGTTGTCCACCTCTAGTTAGACCAACCAAGAACCATCCCCACATCATGATGCTGCCACCACCATGCTTTCTGCTGTGGATGGTGTGTTTGTGAGGATGCGTTGTGCTTAGTGTCCAGTCTGATGGACAAAAAGCTCCATTTTGGTCTCATCAGACCAAAGAACCTTCTTCCAGTCGACCTCAGAGTCTTCAACATGCCTTCTGGTGAACTCTAGTCGAGATTTGATATGAGATTTTTTTCAACAGTGGCTTCTTCTTTGCCACTTTACCATAAAGCTTTACATTATAAAGAACAGGACACAGTTGTGGAAGAGTCTCTACCATCTTAGGAGCTTGTAAACCCTTAAGAGGAGTCATAGATTTCTCGGTGGCCACAATCATTAAAGATCTGAGAGCCATTTTTGTCAACTCTTACCAGAAAAAGCCAAATGAAATTGATCATGATTCAATGTTGAAAAGCAGAACTGTGGGGGGAGACGTAGTTATCATACAGCTGAAACTGCTAACAGTGCTAAAATGCTAAACCAATCACATTAGACATTTTTTATGTATGTGTTTCATGAGTAATAGGAAACAATGAGTAGTCCAGCTTCAGGTAGAACTTTGCTTTACTTGACATTACAGAAATATTTGGTAAATCTAACCTCAGAAGTTTTTTGCTTGTTTTTTCAGTGCTTTAAACATTTCTGCAGATTTTACATGTTTTTTTTTTCCAAACATTTGCTCCCGTCGGTCATCATGTAAAGAGCCAACCAAGCTCACTTTGGCCTGAGACTCTTGAGTGAAGCAGCACGGTGGAGAGCTGCCGGCGTGGGCGTTTAGCGCAGCAGGTAGCTCCAGGTTGAATTAGAAAGTAGCCTGTTATTGATACTGAATGCTGTTTTAACACATGACTGGTGCTTTTTGTTTTTAAAATGACAGTTTAAAAAGAAAAAAGGAAAAAAAAAACACTTCCAAGAGCGGCGCAGAGAATATGTTTATTACTTAATTTGCATAAAGTGTAGTATGTAATCAGTCGGTTCTTGGCTAAAATTTTAAAAAATCACCCAAGAGATTACCAAAGAGGTGGGATGCAACATAAAAAATAAAAAAAAAGAGTAGATGGAAAAAGTTGAAAAAAATAATCAAATAAATGGCAGTGACACTGTATTTCCACAAGGGGGATGTCAATCTCCAGTCCCTGTGGTCGTCCCTCCTTCTTAGCACTCCTCTTCCTCCTCCTCCTCCTCCTCCTCCTCAGTGTTCTTCCTTTGTGGTGAGCAGTGTTGTAAATACGTCTCGTGGCTGAATCGGATGCTCTTTTCCCGGCCCTGGACCACACCTGCTCACCCCACGATGATCTCTCTTTCACACTCTTGCATATAAAAAAAAACACACATTCAGAGTAGAGCGATGGGTCCACTGCTGCACAAAGATGAAGGGGCCGAACCGTCCCACTCAGAGCCGGCAACACAAACAAAAAAAAAAAACACCCCACATTATGTACATAATTTTCAGTGTATGTTTACATAGACACAGTATAGGTGTCCTGTTGGGGGTGAGGTGAAACAAGCATGACAACTCTCACATCTCATCTTACAGGTTATCTGCAGTCGCTTCATCTGAGCCAGTGGAAGTGTGGAGTTCTTAAGTCAATTTTTCTGAGTCACTCGGGCTCATTTTGTTACCGTTTTTTTTTCCTTTTAAGTCCTGCAAAATGTTTAGTTTTTGTTTTTTTCAGCAGGTAATCCATGAACACAAGGAAGTGCGGGTGTTCTTAATTTTTATCTCTTGCCTTTTAGTGGCTATTTATCTTGTTTATTTGGTTGTATTCTTGATTTTAATCTGCCGGGATGTGCTGAGCTGAAAACGTTGGCCGAGTGTGTGTTTGTTTGCTGTGCATGTTGCCGTGCTGAAGCCAAGGCGTCTTCGCACTTGTGTGTGCACAGGCGGTGTTGTTGTTCACGAGGGCACGACTCTAAAATCGGTTCTGTCATTTTGTCTTAAAAATACATGTCTTAATTATGTAAAAAACAAAAAAATAAAACTAATAAAAAAAAAGATCTATATATATATTTATCATACACATCACTTCTCAAGGCACCAGTCGATTTTTTTTTTCTTCTTCTCAGCCTGTGGGATGGAAGTGAAATATCACCGTGCAGTACTTGGACTTGTGGTCGATGATGTTGTGAGACACTGAGGAAAAGTTTCATTGATGAGGTGAATACTGTTCTTTAACTTTGTTTATTTCTATTTTTTTCTTTTGTGTAACAGGTTTCAAACAAAGGGGGCGGCGGTGGGGGGGCACATTTTAATGGATGGGTTTGTTTTTCCTGGCCTGCAATGAGATGTCAAAAATAAAAAAGCAAATTTCCAAAGCTGACGGTGTTTTGAGATCAACCAGTTTTTTTGTTCTTTTACTGTTAAATAAAAATGGCTTTCTGATTCATAAGCGACTTAACGCTGGATTCACTGACTTTAATCAAGCTTGTTGTTTTGGGTATGTGTCATTTCTTGTCACAAATCATAACCTTGCATCTCCAACACGCCTTTTGTTGTGCTTTTCTTGGCCTTTATTACTGAAGAGCGACAAAGAAAAGGAGGAGAAGTGTCGCAGCCTTCATGCATGACGCACCAGATGCTTTTCATGTAGATAAAATCTCCAAAACTACTCTTATTTGAGTTTTGCAAAATAATAATATGTAAGTACACGCTGCTGTTTTAGAATATCGCAGCAAAAAAGCACAAATACATCATCACAAACTGGACATATAAAGGATTACGCTTCACTGCATATTTGCATTAAACATCTAAGGGAGGCTATTTTAAGTTGACAAAAGCGAGCAAAAGTTTACATTTTGCAATCCACAGACTAGTCAGACATGTTTTAAGCCCAGCACTGAGCCAACAGTCCTGAAAGCAGCAGAAACATGAACCCCAGATGGGCGCTTCTGTTGAAATCTGTAATTAATTCAGGGTTTTTTCAGGTAACACAACATGAAAGCCTGATTGATAATCAAAGGTTGTTTTTGTCCCTTTTCTCTGCATCTTTCTCTCTCTCTTCTGTTCGCTGTGTTTATTTGCTGGTTAATGAAAAATAAGCCTTTTAAACAGGATTATATACATAAAACAACTTCAAATTTCCAAAGCAAGAATCAAAGTAAAAGAAAACTCTGTCAGATAAAGATAATGATGGAAAGTTTAAAAAATAGTTCAACTTTTGACATATTAACTCATAATGAGGTAAAGTTCTGACTTTTAATATCAAACTTTTGCTTATTGTTTCATAATTTTTACTTATTATCCCACTTTTTAACTTAAAGTACAACATTTGACTCATAACTCATGTTTATTTTATTTTATGAGCTAAACTTTCATCCTATTATCTCATGATTTAAGTCAAAATCATAAACGAGCTGACTTTTGTCTTATTTATTTGCTTTCATTTCATCATGTTATTTTATAATGTTGGCTTCTGATGCCAACATTGTTCATATCTCACAATTCTGACTTTCTACACGAACATTTCGATTCATTGCCTTCAAATATTGACTGAAAAAGATCACACAAAAAACATACCGATACTGTTTTTAACTTTTGATTTTGTGAACATCTCTCATAGAAAAGGTTAAATTGCTCATAAAAAATTACACACTCACCTTCACAACCTGCCCTAACTCACATATGGGTTATATTAGAACAAATTATTGCTCAAAATATTAATGTTAGTTAGTTTATTTAGCTTTTCCCCACAGGGATCATACAAAACAGGGAATTCTGAGAAAGAAGGCCTCATCTGCCACCAACTGCCCTGCTATTATCTCCAAATTCTGACCTAATAAGCTATAATTTGACTAAATGCTTTATAATTTTGAAAATATAAGCAAAACGATGGACTTACCATGAGTATTTTTATATCTATCATGATAGTTTCCTCTCTTTTCCAGTTGGAAATGGGCTTCCATGCACATCTTTTTGACTGTTGCTACCTCCCCAAATATCTTATTTATCATCTCTGCGAGTACATAAACAGATTAACAAGCTTGAAGACATAATCAAACACCAAATGTGCAAACCAATAATGAACAATGTGTGTGGAAGTGGACAAGGTGACCACCAGGGTTTGTGCTTTATGTCCACAGCAGCACATTTAGGTGTCATTTGATTGGCTTTTTTTGTGAATTGGCTGCAGTTCAATCAAGTCAAAACCGACCAAAAGGGCTCTGAATCCATTAAAATTCTGTTTTTAACGAGTCTGGATTTACTGCAGATTGAATTTCTCATGCACACATTCATATAAACACTCATCACGTTGCTGAAATGGAGGATTGTTTGCTATGTTTGCTGTTTTTCTTTTTCTTTTTTTACTTCTTGCAATGACCTCTGCTTCATTTCAGGGAACTGTGCATGGAATTCTGTTATGTTTTTGCTTATTTTGTTGTTTTTGAGGGGAGCCAATAACTAAATAAAGGCGATAATTTGAAGAAAAAAAAAGAGAAAAGCTTCCCTGTTTGTGTTACATGGAGCAGGTTGATTTGACGCCGGCAGGAGGGCGGGACTTAAGCAGCTGCTGACGTGTCTGTGAGCCAATAGGAGGCCGCGGATCATTCGCACGTTGGCACAATTGGCTTATAATAAAAAACCTCTGCGTCCCCAGAAGTTCCAGCGATGATTGGGTGCAGAATTGTGCATCGAAAATCAGCAGGCTGGAGCTGCTGGAGCCGCCGGAGTGTTTGATAGCAGCCAGCGGGGGGACTGGGAGGCGGACGATGCCGCAGCACGGCGCTCTGCTGCAGGGTTTGTGTCCGGGATTAGCCGCTACTTAGCTCCGAGCGTTTGGAGACGCAGCGCAGCTCCGAGCCGCGCGTCAGGTGGATGCGCCTGCAGTGATCCAGGTCGCCCCTATGGATCGCGCCCCATGGATGTCTTCAAACCCGCTTTGGACAATAGTTTGAGTCCCAAGGCGTGCGTTCCCTCGTCGGAAGAAGCGGAGGCAGATGTTTTTCGCTGGCCGGAGAACGGTACCGGAGCCGCGCCGGATGCGGAACCTGCCGCTCCGGGCTTCTGGACGGCCGTGTTCGACTATGAGGCTACTGCGGACGACGAGCTCAGCCTGCGGAGGGGAGACCTGGTGGAGGTCCTGTCCAAGGACTCCCTGGTGTCGGGAGATGAGGGTTGGTGGACCGGTATGATAGCGGACCGGGTTGGCATTTTCCCGTCTAACTATGTCAGCAGAGGCAACGGCATTCCGGAGGAAATCCGGGACACGTCGGAGCAGCAGTACTCGGTGCCTCCTCTGCACCGTGAGTATGCCATTGTGCTTAAATGAAACGAGTGAAAGTGCACAGGGCTGCGCTGCGTCCTCGCGTCTTTTGTTGCAGGCTGCAGCCGGAGAAACCCACGCTGAGAGTGCTGTGTCATGGCAGGCGCAGTGCATCCTGTTGGCCTAGAAACAGGCTCCAGGCATCCTCAGCCTCAGCACCAGCACACAACAAAGTGATGCAGCCCTCCTCTGTGCTCAGATTACAACGTGTGTGGCATCCTAAACGCCTTTAACTGCACGTCCTGCACGTGCAATCCTGAAGTGCATTGGTGTGGAGGGCGTATTTAATAGTGTTTGCACCAAATTTGTGCTGCTGGTGCAGGACAGAGAGGAATTGTGCAAGCTAAACGTGCAGCCAAGGCCTCAGATGGATACAGTAAGCAGAATCAGGAGCAGCCACTGCACTCACTCTGATTGGCCTCAGTGTGCAAAACGCTGCTCCACCTGCAGCCACAGACCTGATGTCTGCATCTGAGCGTAAACAGGCGACTAAAACAGGTGTTTCCAGGCCGTAGGTGGACCACAACACCTCAGCTGCCTTTGTTAGCTGTCTCCATCTTTTGTTGGCTTTCATCTCTCAGTACTCAGGCAGCTGGCCTACTTTCACACACCTGAAATATTCATCAAGGTCAGTCTGCTTAGTAGACTGTTAGGAATCTACGACATCAACATTCACACAGAGACAGAGAAGCTGCAGCTCACATCAGCACACACACACCTTTAATTTTCCTTCTCCGAGCAGCCGAGACAGATTCGAGGACAGATGCTCACCCTTGTGTAATAGCAGGAGGGATGCTTCCTGTATTTGGGGCAGCAGGGTGGCTTAGCGCTTGGAGAAAAGCATCCTTCAGCTGAATGACCTGGTTTTGACATCCTCGTTAGCAAAACCTCGCTGGAGAGGAAAACGGTGGATTCCTGACCAGAGCTGCAAAGACTAGATAGACGGATGCTTGATTCATCCCACTGGGGGAGTTTAAGGCATCCAGCAGCTCACACATGTTACATTTAGGGAGAATGAGGAAACTAATGTGGAAAATAATGTGCAAATGGTGCTGGTAGAAGAAATAAGGTGCAAAAAAAATGTTGTTTTTTACAGACTAAACAGAATATTCGAAAGTCTAAATACGGCATCACAATAGAAATATTGATAAACATATAGGAGGGGTGCTGGGGTCAGGATTCTTGGGTTTTGTTGCACAGTAATCAGCTTAATTATTCCATTAAACAGTTTGATTCATCATGTAGTTGCCATCTAATAAGTTAGTCTGCAACTATTTGGAGAATCAGTTAATTGGTTTGATCACGTTGTTAAGAAAAAAGTCCACAATCTGTGTTTGTAACTTTTTAAATGTGAATATTTTCTGGTTTCTTTCCTCCTCTATGACGGTAAACTAGAAATCTTTGGGTTGTGGATGAAACCGTAACCGACATTTTGCACCATTTTCTGCCACAGTATTGACCAAACAACCGAAGGATTAGTCGTGAACAATGAAAATCCCCATTAGGTGCAGCCTTGTTCCCAACAGCTCCAGACAGGCTGACCCTGACCTCTAGTGTCCTTGGAGGGTCCAAGTACAAATCTAACTAACCTTTGAAGTTCACTGTTGCACCAGGAGAGTGTTCTTCTATGCAGACGACACAGTTTTCTATCATTTATCTGTAAGTCTAATCTGTGTCTTCTTCCGTCCTTCAGTCCTGGAGATCGATTTCTCCGAGCTCACCCTGGAGGAAATCATCGGGGTGGGCGGCTTCGGGAAAGTCTACCGGGCGGTGTGGCGGGGCAGCGAGGTGGCGGTGAAGGCGGCGCGCCGAGACCCCGACGAGGACGCGGAGCAGACGTTGGAGAGCGTCCGGCAGGAGGCCAAGCTGTTCGCCATGCTCAACCACCCCAACATCATGGCTCTGCTCGGGGTGTGTCTGCAGGAGCCCAACCTGTGCCTGGTCATGGAGTACGCTCGAGGCGGCCCCCTGAACCGGGCCCTCGCTGGGAAACGCATCCCGCCGTGCACGCTGGTGGACTGGGCCGTGCAGATCGCCCGAGGCATGCTCTACCTCCACAGCCAGGCCATCGTCCCCATCATCCACCGGGACCTCAAGTCCAGCAACAGTAAGCTCCCCTCAGTCTGCTCGTTGTTGGCATCAGGCAGGAAAACAGTAGAAATGGCCTGTCACAACCTCTGTAGGCCCAATGGGACACTTTCACATGCCAGTTTGGCAGATATTTCTCTTGAAATGAATGATTTATCCAATTACATGCTGATGAACTTTGCAGGACCTCAAGTCCAGCAACAGTAAGATTCCTTCACGCTACTTGTTTTTTAAATCATGTGAGTTGGAAAAATGCAGGAAAACAGTAGAAAATACACATCACAACTTCTGTAGGCCCAAAGGGACGCTCTTAAAATGCCAGTTTGCTACTTTTCCTCGACATATCTCTTTAAAAATAAATTGTTTATCAAATTAGATGCCGATTAACTTTTTATCAGTTACGATTCAGTTAATCAAACAGGTTTTGCAGCTCTAACGGGCTGTTTTTCTCTTTTTTATATCATTTACAGTCAGGCATAAATCATTTTTAAACACCAGTTAGTTCTAACATGTTCTGAAGGGCCTTTGTCCATGTTTTTTTCACATTTTAAGGCGATCTATGAGCTTTTTAATCAATCATATCAATATAATTTAGTCATTCACAGCCCTAGTCCTCAGTGTCTTTGCTGTCTTTTTTTAAAAATTAGATTTACTTTCAATCAGTGAACTATTCAGTTAATCAAACAGTTTTTGCAGCTCTATCGTATTATTTCCTAATTTGTATCATTTGTAGTCAGAAATAAACAACATTTGAAGCACCACTGTGGGTTCTAACACGTGCTGAAAGACTATTGTTCATGTTTGTTGTCATATTCTAAGGCAAACTATGAGCTTTTTAATCAGTTATATCAATATAATTTAGTCATTCACAGCCCTAGTCCTCAGTGTCTTTGGTGGCTTTTTAAAATTAGATTCACTTTCAATCAGTGAACTATTCAGTTGATCAAGCAGTTGTTGCAGCTCTAATGGGATATTTTCTCTATTTTATACCATTTTTTTATAAACCATAAACGATTCTGAGGTACTATTGTGCTCTGAGACATGCTCGAAAGGGCATTTGTCCATGTTTTTGTCATATTTTAATGCAAACTATAAGCTTTTTAATTAATAATATCAATAATTTAGTCATTCACAGCCCTAGTCCTCAGTGTCTTGGTGTCGTTTTAAACTAGATTCACTTTCAATCAGTTAACTATTCAGTTAATCAAACCGTCTTTGCAGCTCTAACATAATATTTTCCTCATCATTTATAGTGAGGAATAAACAATTTTGAAGCACCATGCAACATGTTCTGAAGAACTTTTGTCCATGTTTTTGTCATATTTAAAGGCAATCTATGAGCTTTTTAATTAATAATATTAATAATTTAATCGTTTAAAGCCCCAGTTCTGAGTGTCTCTGGTGTCACTGCTGCGTAGTTTATCAAGGCTGTGGAGTTAAAAGGCATCGAGGACTTTTATTAACTCTCCGGTGAATCATGTCTGTGGTAAATCCTGGTATCCTGAAGAGACTCCAGTATAATTATGAGAGACTAAAGCCGTATATCTTTTCATGCAAAGAGGAAGGTCATTTTCACACCAAGTGCAGGTCAGGAAGTTTGTCTTTTGCATCCCTGATCTATAGAAGTAACGACTTTCTCCCTGGTTTTAATCTGCAGCCGTGTATTAATCAACCCACTTAATGCACCTTTAAAAAATGAATTTAAGCCTCATGCCAGCCACATGGTGTGATTTGCAGCGTGCAAGTCAGGGCAGAAAGGGAAAAGGAGTTTGCATGTATGTTTGTGGAGCGGTTGTAATCTTGCATTTTCCCCAACTGGATCCCCTAAATCCCGATCCTATTACCGAGGATTTGCCCAGTGCTCGGCTCCCGGCTCCCGATTGGAGGCTCCAGCGATACATACAAACAGCTCCTTGGCTGCCATTGGTCGGCTCTGTTGTGATCAGCTCAGGCGCTTCACTTCCAATAGGCTGCTTTAAAGTGTTAAAGTCAGTCTAACTAGTTGCCATCCTGCCCTCTGCGGGGAAAAGCCATGCTCTCTGCACAGCGCAGCAGCAGTGCAGGAGTTTATCTGCCTTTCTCTAATTGCATTTTTAGGGTCTAAGACAGGGGTGTCCGATCCTGGTCCTCGAGAGCCACAATCCTGCATGTTTTAGATGTGTCCCTCTTCCAACACACCTGATTCAAATGATCAGGATCGTTATCAGGCTTCTGCAGAGCTTGATGATGAGCTGATCATCTGAATCAGGTGTGTTGGAAGAAGGAAACATCTAAAATATGCAGGACTGTGGCCCTCGAGGACCAGGATTGGACACCCCGGGTCTAAGACATTAAGGTTTGAAACCTAAGGTTTTAACTTGTCATTCTTTTGTATTTACTATCTGGAGCTCTTGAAAAATCTGTAAATTAGAACATATTCCACATCTGTTGAGTTGCATCAGTTGAAGAAAACATCTTTTTTTCCTCAACATAAGCTAAAGTAACCCGTTATTAGCCCCACAGTGGGGAAATTTGCAGTGTTACAGCAGCTAAGATAGTGCAAACATTTAAGGAATGTACAGAAAATAAAAAAAAAAATAAACCCAATTATACGTAAGTGCTACTAAAAATAACTACTATAATAAAAAATAATTACTGATCATATCAGTGGTATTACACAGGTGTTTTGATGAATATAAATACTGATAGAGTATTATTATTATTGCACAAATTGCCCACAAGTAGAGAATTAACAAAGTAGTACAAACTGTGTCATTATAGGGTCCAGATTAATATTTGGCAGTGTTGGTGGCAATATTAGACAGTAAAATCCCTAAAAGGTCCAGAATTATTTCTTGAATCGCTGCACAATTATTTGTCAAAAGGCTCAGAAACTTTCTGTCTTAACAGTTTGAATTCCAGCCACAATAGCAATCAATGGTTCAGTCGACCTGCTCGGTCCAGACTTCTAAATCTAGTCTTGAAATTTAGTGCAGACATTCAGGTCACCCTGAGGATGAATCATATTACCTTTGATGATCCCTTAACTTTTAATTTAGCACCAACATCCGGTCGAAATATTCACTTTCCGACACTTTAATGTATGACTGAATGCCTACAAAACTAAAAGCATTGCCATGCACCTCAGTTATACTTTGTTTTTTTGTGCTAATCAGTCTTGGAAAAAGTTTGAATCAACTATTGTAAAAGTCCTGCATTTAAAAAGTTAGAAAAGCAAAAGTAGTATCAGCAATACACATAAAATATCAAAAGTAAAATTACTCATTGTGCAGTACGATGGGTCCTACCAGTGTTTTGTCTTGTATGATGTTTTTAGTTTAATTTTACAACAAAATTAATGCACAAGGTTGAGCTAATTTAACTTCTTTCTAGACTGAAGGTTGGTTTAATCTATAATAATGTGTCTTTTGTCGAGTTGTTTTCCAGTGAATGACACATATCTCTAATGAGCCAGTATTTCATGAGATCAGAACAACAGCCTTGTTTTCAGCTTTAAAACTTCACTGAAGCGCTTTTCTGGTTGTTGATTTAACCCCTAAAAACAATTTCCTTAAACACTTTATTGTCTGCTCTCCTCTCAGTGGGACCATCATTTACAAAGTGAACATCATGCTGTGTTCAAAGAGTCTTGAAACTAGCTGCTGATGCCATAAACTCAATAAGAAAATGTTTGCTGAGGTAACAAACAAATTAAAAGTCAGATAATTTCCTCATAAACTTCGATTCTGTTAGACTTCTTTTTGCAATCGGAGGAGTCGCCCCCTGCTGGCTGTTGGAAAGAATGCAGGTTTATGGCACTTCAGGGCTGGCTTCCCTGCAGACCTGCAGGCTACGGACATCTTTTATACGGTCACTTTAAATGTTGCAGACAAGAAATTTTGGTCCAGTTAATCCTTTTGTAACGGATGAGCCAGTGTTTACTGTGCTAAAGGAGATAAGAAAGGAAGTGTTGAAGCATCTTTCTTAAGCATTTAGAGAAACTTCTGAAACACAAAAGACTATTGAGCCAAGTCACAATTAAAGGTGAAGCCTGCAATTCTCCACAATCACAGACTTCACCTTTAGTTGCATATAGTCGATGCAGCTGAGGTTGATGTCAGGGATCTGTGCAAATTGAGCCTGTGAATTTACAGGGAGATTGCTGATATTCAACGAGTGAGCACATTTAGATGACTAGCATGTGCCATATTTACCGTCCCAACCGCTCTCCCTGCCCTCTTTTAGCCCATCTTCCTTCTCCAGTCCTGTACACGAGTACAAACATGCACAAGCTTGAACAGCACACTGACCTATTGTAGTGTGGATCAGTCCGATACCCTTTGTTTCTTATTTACAGAACCAGGTCTGTGTAGGAATAATGACTTTTTTGTTTCGGTGCACACAGAACAGACAGCTAGTGGACCACAGGCGGTATTCACTGAATTAAATGCACTCTACTGGATCAGAACCTGAAATATGTTGAACCCTCTGAACTCAAAGCAGTTTCTGGCTGGTTTTTACTCACTGTGGGCTCATTTTTTCACTGCTATGTAAAGTCCAGCACCTCTATGGAAACAGCACAACCATGACTAGAAGGAGAGAGAAATCAGAAATGTCTTGGGTGCAGTTTAGCAAAGTTATATTGTCATAAATCATAAAAAAAGAAAAAGCTGAAGTTGAATTTCTGAAATTATTTGTTTTACAAATGTGGAAAAAACCAACATGCACAACTTTCTCCCCTCAAGTTCCCCCAGGTGTTTAACATCAGTGAAAGAAAAAGGTGACTCTAAAACTATATTTTGCTTCTTAAAACTTAAATTTGTTTCTACACTTGTTTCCTATCTGTAAAAACAAAGCCTGCAGTTCAACCGAATAGTTCCTACATTTTTGTCATGTGACTGTTGGTCGCAGCAGTGACAATAATGGCTGATAGAGACATTTCAAATAAAGGGATTTTGGTTAAATATTAGAATTTTAAGCTTGGCTTTGGTTACGTTTACTGATGGAAGAGCACATCACAGAAGATGAATTCAAGGACTGATGCAAAGTTAGTTTTTTTACAGTTTCTTGCTCTGATTAATGGGGTCGATTTGGCTTGTTTGTTAACTAGCTTGAAGGGTTTTAGGGTCCAGAGTGTTAAATAAAAATCTGCTTCATCATCTGCCTCTCTTTCACGTCATACGTCGTTTATTGGAGACCAGAACCTATAAATCCTGTTATCCGTGCTTTTTTTAGATTTTTATTTGGAACCCTTAGAACTCCAAACCAGTTCATCCACAGAGGTTTTGCTGTTCATGTAAACTACCTCTGCTGCCTCTCTTTAACATGCCGCGCGGTGGATGCTCTTATCTGAAGGACGGAGCATTACAGCAAGTGCATACATTTGGAGCGCGATCGGCCTCGAGGGAGAATCAGCCGTGTTTGCTTCATGTTGCACCTCCTCCTCCTCCGCTACACGGGAGCAAGATGTACTTTAGCCACGTGTTTGGTTTCTTTTGGAAACTGCCTCTGTAGCATTAGAGCAGATGAAGGGGCGCTTGATGTGCACCGCAGCCTGCAGACACACCCTCCCGGCTGGGCACGGCCTGCAGCAGATGGCCTGGCATTGTGGAGCTGAATGGGGGAGAGAGAGCATGTGGTTAGGAGGAGCCCGGCCGGTGCTTGTGCATGTTGGGAGTGGGTTGTTTTCTCGCTGCTATTAGAGCAAATGGGCGTCGCAACAGGCTGTTTCTGTAGTTTAACTGTACTATCAGTGTTTGTCTGCTGTAAAAAATACACAATGAGTCCATCAGCATTGATCAAGGCTGGTGTTTTTCATCTGTGTGTGGTTGTAGCTCACTGTTTCTCGGTTTCTCTGTTCTCTTTCTCTTTCATCCTTCCATCATGGCCTCCCACCCTGTTTTGTTCACCCATCATTTGTCTAATTTCTGCTTTGTGTTTTTATCGTGCGACTCCTGCTGCCGCCATCTCAAATCCCGATGACGATTACCCGAAACCTTTTACTTTAACCCACCCGCCAATCTGCACGAATCCCACCCTCCCATCCTCCAACCTCCTCCTCCTCCTCCTCCTCATCCTCCAACCAAAATCCCCTCATCACCTCCCGCTCCAGTCCTCATCCTGGAGAGGGTCGAGATGGAGGACCTCAGCAACAAGACCCTGAAGATCACCGACTTCGGCCTGGCTCGGGAGTGGCACCGTACCACCAAGATGAGCGCCGCCGGCACCTACGCCTGGATGGCTCCGGAAGTCATCCGCTCGTCCACCTTCTCCAAAGGCAGCGACGTCTGGAGGTGGGCAGAGGAGATGGGGGTTGGTGGTCTCTGCGGGAAATCAAACTTGCACCAGGTTGCAGCAGAGGTGGCCTGAAAGCAAGTGCCAGAGAGGGAAGCGGTTAAACCGCCACGCATGAGGGTGGGGAAAAAAAAAAAGTTCAGCGGTGGCAGCAGTTGCCATAGTAACAAAGCACAGACTGGCACATGGGAACGAGAACAGAATGTCGAGTTTTATGAGACGGGTACAAAGCAGAGTACATACAAATATACGCTCAAAAAGTCATCACAGTGGATCTCTGGCATGTCCTTTAATTAGAAGATTTAACACAATACAGTGGAATATAATATATTAAAGGCAAGGTGGCAGAATTATGAGGCTGTGCTACGAGGATTAGATGAAAATAAAAGATTAAAACATATGCTTGTAAAATAAGAATTACAATCCTTGAGTGTACATTGACACAATTTATAGCTGGACTGTGCAAATTTTTGTTTAACTGTGAGGTAAGCCGTACAATAACATTTTGGACATGGGTGTAAATTTACAGAATAATGAAAAACGTTTGGTAAATGTGTGAAAAAAAGTGTAGCTTTTCCAGAGATAATGTTCGTAACTGCTCATATGTACACAAATCCATCAGTTTTCTAATCCTCACTAGGGTCATGGGGGGCTGGAGTCTATCCCAGCTGACTCAGGGTGAAGGCAGGGGACACCCTGGACAGGTCACCAGTCTATCACAGGGCTACACTTAGAGACAGACAACCAAGCACACTCACATTCATACCTACGGACAATTTAGAATCCGCAATTAACCTCAACATGTTTTTGGACCTTGTGGGAGGAAGCCGGAGAACCCAGAGAGAACCCACACTGCACGGAGAGAACATGCAAACTCCACGCAGAGAGATCCTGGGTGTCCTCACTGGGACGCAAACCGGCGACCTTCTAGCTGCGAGGCAACGGTGCTAACCACCGAGCAGCCCAGATACACCAATGTATACTTCAAATCAAAATCTAATCATACTTATTGATTTCCATATTCAGTGTGGCTGCACGGATGCAATATGTAAAAATTTGTACTACTAGTACTAGTCAACTGACCAAAGATTAGTTTTACAGTTTGGTTTAGCAGACACTTTTAACCAAAGCGACGTACATCTGAGAGCAGATACAACACAAGCAAGGATCCAGTCAGGAGAAAACAGTCTGGATAAGTGCCACAGAACAAGTCCAAGTGTGATAGGGCGTTGATAGCAGACTGAATTACTTATAAAAACTGTTTAAAACTAGATTTCTGTCATATTTTAAAGCAAATGTGCCAAACATACAGTAGCATTTGCTTTTCAAACTTGACACTTTGATAGTTTCACTACAATCAGCACAATATTACCATGTTTCTGGACTATTGGTTGAACTGATCAAGCAGTTTAAAGAAGAGAAATGATGCACCACATTCTCTGACTAATGAGCTGGTGCAGTGGTTAGCATTGACTTCAAGCCTTTCTGAGTGGAGTTTGCATGTTCTTCCTGTTTCTATGTGGGATTTCTCCTTCTACAGTCCAGAGACATGCATGGAAGGTTAATTGGTGATTCTGTAGATGCGAGTGCGCGTCGTTGGGCCCGATTACAATCTGCACACTTATGGATTTTGAAGTGCGTTATTGCTGAGTGTTTGAGGATTTAGGTTTGTCTCATCAGCAAATCTTAAAGTGCATGACGGCTCCGATGCAGACTTTTTTTGCACCACTATGCGCCTTTTCTGTGAGTCCGCATATCTGCAGACCTTCCTGAGGGACTTGCATACATTTTTAGTGAAGCTGGTGATGTACGAACATGGCTGTACACAAACCAAGCCAGCACAGTGCAGGAAAGAAATACGAAATAGTAGGTCTGTCTGTAAGCAGCGACATCTGGCTGCTCGTTGTTGTGGTCATTTATTGCATGTTTGTACAGTTATTTGTTTTTAAGTCAAATGTCTGCAAAGGATTTACAGATGTTCTTGGCTTTTTGGAATTTCGGTGGTTTGCTAAAAGGAAACTCAAATGAATAATCAAACAGTGGATAAAATACGTGTCCAATTTGACCTTTTAATATATTGTGATGCGTTGTTTCGAACCACTTGAGCACTGCAGCTGTGAGTCTGTGAGGTTTTGGTGTTTAGGCCCTGAGGAGGGATTCAGATTGAACTTTTGTGTTAGCTGTGATGCTTTCAGGGACCTGTCCAGGGTTTAACCTGCCACTCCTCCAGTGTCAGCGAGGAATGGCTCCAAACCTCTACATGATAAAGCAGGTGTATCTGTTGGGTGAATGGATGGACTTTTTTGCTGATTATTGGTCCTAAGAACTTATAAAATAAACCAGAATCCCATAAACAATCAGCAGAATAATGCATAATGTAAGCAGCCATGTCATGTTTATCTATCTGTGGACACAGCAGCTGGCTCAACGACAGGTTAGCAACAGTTCAACACTGTTTAATGCAGGTTTAGAAGACTACAGTTACAGTTTGATGTGGACAGCAGAGTGATGGACAGGAAGAAGAATCAGGCTGAGCTGTAGTCCAGATGAAGAGGAGGAGGGCAGGACAGGTAGGTTTGCAAAGAAGTGGGAAACCTGAAGCCCAGCCAGAGTAGAGGTTAGACATGAATCTCAGTTATCACAGGGAAGTACTAGTAGGAATCGAGTTGGCTTTAAAGCTGAGGTAGGCAGTTTATTTTTATTTTTTTTTTGCAGTCACTGGCCATAATTCAGTATTAACTTTTTATTATATTGTAAATCAAGTGGTCTGGGAGGAAACCAGACTTCTGCTTTGTTTTCAGGCTTTAAAAACCTTAGCTTGTGAGAAGAGATTTAGCCAGTCACAGGTCTAAAAAGGAGGATATAAAGAGCAACAAAGTCAGGACGTGGTGACTCAGTGGGTTTAAAACAGGGCTGACACTGAGAAAAGTGAAAGGTTGAAAGCCTGTGTGGAGTCAGAAGTGAGTGTTTGCTGTCGGTTTGACTGTTAACATGCATATGCCTGTATGATAGGAGGGGCTTCAGATAAGGAGGTTAGAGGAATGAGGGCTGTGTTTTCACATCTTCAGATTCCACTCGACTGCGACTTTAACATTGGCACCACGTCGGCAGGCTGAACAAACTGGTGAAGATTTGGATGAAAATCCAGGGGCTGCATTTAAAATTGCACTGTTTATCTTTTTACTTCTGGTTCTACAACTTCCCTTAAAAAGTACGGACTGTTTGATGCAGTATCATACGATTTGGAAATACAACTTTGTCATAGTAATGCACCTTGAACTTTGACAGTGTGTTGTGTGGAATGAGCTGTCATCTATTTGTGCACTCTCAAACTTGTCGGTACTCGCACTGCGTAACCGTGCAGAGGATTGTGGGTCAGAATGGTCAGAAAAGGCTGCTGCTTGCACACCGCAAAACCTGACTGGATGTAGAAGGACGTCCTGGTGTTTTTGGTGATATGCTATGCATTGGGACATACTTAATCTTATTTTTTTTCATGCTATCTAGTGTGGTAGTATGGATATTGAAAGGCACACTGCTGGACTTGATGATGAATCTGAGCCACACCCAGATAGACACTAAAGAACACAACAAAAAGGGACCAACAAGAAGCACAAAGGGTCAAAGACACAGTGTAAAACATATAACTGGGATCATGACAATTGCTGTAATTTGAAACTTTAGACATCAAAATGTGCATAGTTCTGTTATAAGACAACCTGCAGATGCAAATATCTAATATGTGGGTGCTGTGAGGATTGTTGAGTTAATATTTAGTTTTCTTTAACTCCACATGTCATTTTTCTGACCTTCCTCTCTGTACATTCGTGCTCCAGCATTAACTGTCCGCCTTTTGTCTCTACGGCAGGATTACAGTGTGATCAGTGAGAGGACAGAGTGCAGGGAGTTCGCTTTATAGCAGCACTGAGAGGAGGATGAATGTCCTCGGTAGTGCTGACCAGGGAGGGGAAGCACTCGCTCTCCATGATCGATGCTCCCACAATAGTGTAGAATAAACCTCGTATAATAATCCTCAGTAATTACAGTGGTGTGTTTTGCCCTGATTAATCGCTGTGTAAGTGGATTTACTACATTCTGGGAAGTGTCGCTTCCCTGCCTGCTGTTTGATCCAGGTCTGTTTGTTGGGTTGTCCACGTTAAAGACAAACTTCACACGTCACGAGACGAACAAAACGGACTCCTTCATACTGCAAAAAGGCATTTATTTGCAACATTTCAGTGCTTAACCTTCATCTTGCAAACAGCTTCTTACACAGAGAGGCCATCTCTAATAAAGAATGGTCTGAGGGGAGTATAGGAAGGCTAAAGGCATCCTAAAACATCTTCTTATTTACTGCATGACACATTTTTAATAACATACACTAAGTTAGAAGCCCTATATGTGTACAGTGATGCTGTACGGATTTCCTGAAGGTTGACTGTATTTGACTGCTGGAGAAGGTCTGAAGCAAGTTTATAATTTAAGTTAAGCTTTCCTATGTGCTATGATAAACGCTATCTTCTTAATATGTGTGTTTTCTGTCCTGCAGTTGCCTCTGAAAGCCTGTAGGATGTGTTTTCTAGTAAAGGGACTTATGGGGACAATCCTGAAGGACAGAGGTTCATTTGATGATAATTTTCTGTCCAAGTATGTACCGTGAGCAGATCAGGGCTCCAGACTGCCACCAATTTTTCACATTGTTGGGTTGTTTTGGTGTCTCTCCAGCCAGCACGTGAGGCTACTGTATGTGGTTGAAAGTAGAGCTCAGTCAGTCGCTGTATTTCAAAGACGAAGCCGTCTATAGCCGATTAATTTAAAATTAATATAAATGAGGAGAGAATGAAGGAGTCTGGTGGAGAAGGACAGATCCCAACTGAGACACACTTGATGATAAAGAATGTGGGTGCAGGCTGAGCAGAGAAGAAGAAAAAGTGCTACATCCAATCAATGGCTAACGCAGTACCCGGGCTACAAGATTAATCAAGTATTAATCACGATATTGGTCTCAGATAATTAACTGAACATGATCGACTGTGCAGTGCTTATAGAAAACAGCCCATGTAGATAAAATCCCCTTGGTTCTACCTTTGGTAAATCTGACATTGGAACGCCAGATATCCAATCAAAAGCCTTTAGTGTCATTGCATATACATGGAAATCACTTCTTTTCCGGTAGTTTTGCTGCAGTAACTGAGTGGAGACTTGAGGCTTCTCAGCGCTGCAGATGACCAACTAGCATCTACCTTAGCCTGCATGTGAGGAACAACTGGTAGATTGCTGTAGATTAGCAGATGAGGAGTTTAGCTTGTGCCCAGTTGATAGGAGTGACATCAGACAACCTTCAGGAAAAGACTGGTGACACAACTACTTATTTAAGGGTACAAAACATTGACAATTATCAAGTCGCTGTCAATCTTTGCATCAGTGCAAAACTAGGGGATGCAAATTAGGGCAACTATTATTCAGCATGTAAGGTTGATGGGAAAAAACAGGAGGTGAGGGTGGAACCAGTAGTACTGATCTGGTGCCCTGAAGGTTGAAATTTTATGAGAACCAGTTTGATTTATTTTTAAGGGTTCTATTTATTCATCAATGCTCTTTTTGCACTTGCCATGTCAAAGCATCCCTGCAGCCTGAACCGCATGTGTAACCTGTACACGTTTTTTGGGAATGCAGTTTGGCATCTGAGTGTTTCAAGCGTTCTCATCATAGTAATCTACCCATTGGATGAGATGATTTAGGGGGTACATTTATGATTACTACTATATGGAGTGTTTTCTAGCTTAATGTTATCAAAACCTGTTATTGATGTGATTTGTTGAGGAGTTGCAGCGACTTCCTGTTTATGATGGTATCTTTAACCTTTTTCACGATGAAGCTCCAGCACCAAAACGTTTGACCGTGTGCTGGAGTCTGTTTGAAGTTGTCCACATTTGCCAGAGATTTGTCTATTGTCTTTATATGACAGCGGGGAGGCTGATTTGTTTGATTTGCTGGTCGTTTACAGCTCATCACTGTGCAGGTCTCGGCGTTACTCTCATGGATCTGTCAGCCGCCGCGCTGTTCTGTTGACATTTCCCTTTTTTTTATTTTTTCGACCTTCTCCGCCTCACCTTGGTATTTACATGAGCAGGGTGCAAAATAGTGCGAGTATAATCCTCTTTTTGACATTTATTCAAATAAAGTGGGTTTGCTGAACACTCAGTCTCTTCCAGCAAACATCCTGCTTAACCTTCATATATTCACACACGCTGTTATGCTTAGAGGCAGATACTGCGCCAGTGCGTTTGCGCGCCTCTTCTCTCTGGAGGGTACTGTTGAAGCACACTTTTTGAACCTGTTTTCTATCTTTTTTTTAACATTAAAGCTATGGCGTGCTGCTGTGGGAGCTGCTGACTGGAGAAGTTCCATTTCGGGGAATCGATGGTCTCGCTGTGGCTTACGGAGTGGCGATGAACAAACTGGCTCTGCCCATTCCCTCGACTTGTCCTGAGCCCTTTGCACGTCTTATGGAGGGTAAGGAGGCAAAAATAACTTCTCCCAAAGGTGAAGTGTTGTCCTACGGATTACACAGAAGTGACAGCTGTTGCAGAAATGCACCCAAACTGCAAAAAAAAATATAAAGAAACCACTTTAAATATTTGCTGTTAAAAATAGGATGCATCTTGTGTGTTTATTCCCTGCAGCAAAAAGCTCTAACTGTGAAGCATCAGATGACCAAACAGAATATTTTATTACTTTCTGGAAACATTTGAAAGGCAAAAATAATAATTATTGCTTAAGGCAGATTTGGCCCGAGTATCTGAGACTGTTTTTTCACGCTCTTGCCACAGACTGCTGGAGCTCAGACCCTCACTCTCGGCCGCAGTTCACAACTGTGTTGGATCAGCTGACGGCCATCGAGGAGTCAGGCTTTTTTGAGATGCCAGCGGAGTCGTTTCACTCTCTGCAGGACGACTGGAAACTGGAGATCCAGGAAATGTTTGATCAGCTGAGGACCAAGGAAAAGGTAAAGATGAGAGGCTGAATGTAAACGAGTCAGCCGTAAACGTTAAAGGATATTTAAGGTTTGTTGGAGCTTAAACAGCAAATGAACAGAAAATCCTTGAGGCTGATGCATTGGAGGCAGGAAAAAATGGAAAGTTTAAGCATCTGAGGTGTGGAAGCAAATCATTTTGACCAGATTTTGAAATTTATTGCATTAAAATTATGTATGAGAATTTTTTATGTCTAAATTCAGCTCATCGAAACTTATTTTCACTTTTTTTTCAATAAGGTAAGATAATACTTTATTGGTCCCTTCACAGAGAAATTGCATTTACAGTTACATCCTGTCCAAGAAGCATAAAAAGACAATGACCACTAACAGGGGAAGACAGGAGGGAGAACTGCTCACACATTTAGAACTTTAAAAAATATATTAAAGCATAAATATTCAAGTTACTTCAATTCAATAAGGCAACAGTTCTTGTTAAAAAAAAAAAAAATGCTGTTCACATCCGGGGTCGAAGCAACGGCAGCTAATCAAGTTATGCTCCTCTGGTCATGTGACACACAAAAGCCCAGCAACCAGTGACAACCAGTGCTACCGACGATGCCTCAGTAGCCTTTTAACTCTTTGTTTGCCTTCTATGCCATTTGTTCTTGCAAGAGCCAGTCATGCACAAAATCTTCCACCTGCAAAGAATGTATTGGTTAACACCTGTGTGGAGCTTATTTAAATATGCAATCGAACCTCTGCATGCGAATTTAATTCGTTCCTGAACTTGCGTCGTATGTTAAAATGATCGTATGTTGGATCTTAACGTCGGATGTTGGATCGAATTTTGGATCGAATTTCAATCGTATGTAGAGGTTCTACTGTAGTTAAAAATAAAAAGAGGAGTACTTTTATGGCCAAACATTGGTAAAGGATGAAATGCCATTTGGAAACATACAGAGTTTTGGTTTGCTGTTTACTTACAGTTTGGCCTGTCTTTTTTTTTGTTTGTCTGTTTTGCTTTTTTTTTTTTTACTGTCAACAGGTGAATTATTTCTCTTCTATGACTGTATTATCTGTAATTTAACAAAACAGTGAAAATTTGTAAAATGACTGGTAAAAAAAATCACTTAATAAATTTCAATCCTCAATACACATCATTTTTCTTACAAATAACTTCAAATATCTGTAATACAATGATTTTTTTTTTGCTCATTTAAATACAGTAAAAAGAAAGATGCAATTTTATGGTCAAGTGTTGTTAAACAACAAATTCTGAAAATACAGAATTTTAACGTGGATGTTATTTACAGTTCTGGTTGTTTGTTTTTATAGTCAGCATGGAAATTAACACTTTTTTTCAGAACAAAAAAGGATAAATCTGTAAAATAACAGTAAAATATATGATTTACCGTTTTTCAAACCTATTTCTTTTAAACGCCAAATATTTGTTAAGGAACAAATTTTCATGGGAAAAACGTATGCATTGTTGTTAAAGCTGTGACCTCTTCTTCAGTTCAGAGAGTTTACAGACGGGGTATAAATCCAGCTATTTCATCGGTATCAAAGGCTTTCTCTTCACCTCTCCTTTGCAGGAGCTGCGGTCGTGGGAGGAGGAGCTGACCCGAGCGGCGCTGCAGCAGAAGTGCCAGGAGGAGGCGCTGAGGAGGCGCGAGCAGGAGCTAGCCGAGCGGGAGATCCACATCCTGGAGAGGGAGCTCAACATCATCATCCACCAGCTCTACCAGGAGAAGCCTCACGTGGAGAGCAGGCAGGGAAAGTTCCGCCGCAACCGCCTTAAACTCAAGGACGGCAACAGGATCAGCCTGCCCTCAGGTACGACGAAGGACCCGCTTGGTGCCTCCCAGATTCTAGATTCTCTATTACAGCACGTTAAACAGCGATGATCGCATGCTTCTGCCTGCTTGGCAAACTATTTATATAAAAGCACCAATGAATAGCACAACTTATATTGTGATTCTGTCAATGTGAGTTCCTCAGATTTGTTCAAAGAGGAAGTTCTCCAATTTTAGACATTAAAGTCAGTTTATAATCCGTTCTCAAAAAAAAAAAGAAAAAAGTTGCGTGAAGCCCTTTTGTAGCTCCAGGAGAAGCTGCTGTGTCAATTCTGGTCCATGTCCTCAGGTGTTGTTGCTTGAGTCAGCACCAGTCGGGGAGTTTATAGTCAGACGGAAGTGATTTTACTGGACCTCCTGGTCTCATTTCTCTATTTTAAGCCACCTTGTTTTCTCCGTCCTCCGTCCGCCTGCCTCCTGTGACTCAGAAATTGATTTTGAAAGATGTGTCAGTTTCCTAAAATGCATTTTAAGGAGCGAGGATGCGCAGGTGGATCCTCGTGGTGACCTTTGCGGAAGTCTTTTTGGCACTCCTGACTATTTAAAGACGACACAGCTGAGATGTGCAACCCACGATGGAAGCAGGTCTTACAAATATGCGTGTACAACATATGTCACTCAATACGTGGCTGTTGATTTAATACAATATGGCACATGTGTCTAAATACACAGCATCCATACAATCTTTAATTGAATTCGAAGTAAATACTCTAAGTTGTCGTGAACACTATTCACAAGCTACGGACGGATGATGCGTTCATGCTGCACGTCATATTTAACTGACATCACTTTAAAATAACAGCTACGAGGCAAAGATGTCTCATTTTGTGAATCCATGTTGCCTCCATTTGTAAGACACGAGGAGAGGAGTCGAGGAAAGGAATTAAGGTTGTACAGGCTGAGGAACAAGGCTAAGGCCATGATGCAGGCGTTGGGTTTTGTCAAGGAAGAACAATGCAAGGAATAAAATGACCTCTAGATGATACTTCTGCTTTTGATGCATCGGTTTTGATCGATTACTAAATGTGCTAAATCAGTGCCGTTCTCTTTTCGGCTGCAACCCTAAACACTCTGGTCCAGATTCTGAAAACGTAAATGGATAATGAGGGGTAAAAGTCATGTTTTTTGGACAAGATGAGCTTTGTTGTTCTGTCTTTTTATCTTCATTTCTATATTCACTTGTTGAAAGATGCATAACACTGTATATTACGTTTATTTGTATTTTATTGTCAAGTTATTGCAGCTTTAAAATGAGTGAACCCCAGGTAGTTTCTGTGCATCCTGTCACATTTTTTCTCGCTGTGGGCCTATTTTTCACTGCAATATAAAGTCCTGCACCTCCATGGAAACAGCACAACCAGGACTGTAAGGAGAGAGGACTCATAAATCCCCCCCCCCCAAAAAAAACTATACCCACAAATATTAGCAATACTAGAAAAAACGAGGGGACTTCACTGACTATTTTACAAATTGCGTTTATAATTAGTTTCGTCTTCTGGCTGTAAACACAGACTGCAGTTCAGCTGGAAAGTCCCTGATTTGTTGTCATGTGGCTGCTGGTCACAGCTGAGTCACTAATGGCCTCACAGTTCCACTGACGAGTGAAGAGTTTTATGTTTTTTACTAAATCTGATTAAACAGTTTATTCATGGCAAATTTTTAAGTAAGATTTGTGGAATTAAGTAATTTAGATAAAATATCACAGAATTGAAGATTAAAGTTTTCTGACAGAGCAGCGTGTTACACGTGAGCACTTCAGGGACCATTGGAAATTTGAAAATCTTAACAGTTCCTTCTGTTTTTACCGTTACTAGCTGTGATTAATTGTGTCATTTTTGATTATTTTTAAGACAGCATGCCCTCCAAAGCTTCAACAAAGACAACAGAAGAATTTAAAACCATTTCCTGTGGACAAATACAGGATCTAGACAGCAACAGAAAGAAGGTGTTTTGGAGTGTAACAGATTGCTAGTTGGGCTGTTTTACTCAGACAACATTGCTATGTGTAAAATATAGACACTAATGTAGAAACTAATGCACATTTGTTGAAATCCTTTAGATTTTCAGCACAAAATCACAGTGCAGGCGTCTCCCTCCCACGACCGGCGGAGGAGTTTGCTCAGCAGCAGTTCCAGTCCTCCAACTAGTCCACCGATGCTGCCTCGCCTGAGAGCCATCCAGCGTAAGCTTCAAAAATGCCCTACATTCAAAATTAGATTTGATTAAAGTGGTCATCATTACCACGGAGCACGGCATTTCAGTATTCTCCATGGACATAGAAAGTCACTCACTTTTTAAATAGTTTTTGTTCTTTGTAACCCATTAAATTAACCCTTAAAAGTTGTTTTAATTCAATAATGTCTGGTTCTGCAGTCACTCCAGGGGAGGGCTGCGCAGCTTGGGGTCGCAGCGCCGGGTTACAGCTGGATGACGAGGAGAGCGAGAGGAAGGGCTCCAGGAAGAAGGGCAGATCCCGTGGATGTGGCCCGCACAGGGAGCACAGCGCTGACGCCAGGTGAGTAAAAATAAAAATCCACCTTTTATCTGCCTTTCACACATGATTCAAGTGAGACAGCATCAAACCCTTCCTCCCCAGCGTGAAGCCTCCCCACGAGGGCAGCAGGCAGCGATCCTGCAGCGCCCCGAACCTCCGCAGATCCCCGAGACACAGTCCAGCGGTGCCTGGAGTGCCGAGCCTCGTGGAGATGGGTGAGTTGGAGGCAGATGAGCGGATCTGTTTTGTCTGGCGCGTGCAGACTTCACATGGTAACGCGGGGAACGGAAACCCAGCGGGTTCGCTCCCACACGGCTGTTAGTGGTCGACCCGGGAAACACAGATGTGCATGTCTGCAGCTGTACGAGTGTAAACAAGCTGCTGCAGAGAAAAGGAACGTGCGCGCTCAGCAAACTAAATTTGGATGGGATGGAATTCAAGCAACAAACACCCAAAAACAAACACAGTCGGCCTCAAGTCGGCGGATTCTCAGAGGAACAGCAACAAGCCGTGTGTCATCTACGACCACTGTCCTAGTTTCATAAGCACACTCACAAATTATTCACGTCAAAATGTATTTGAGAACTGGAACACTCTAGAACATCGTAGAGATTAACAGGACTTTTTGGAAAAGTTTAGAAGCTGCATTTTCTCTAAAAATTGTGACAATCTGAGATAAAACTAGAAAAGAGGGACAGACTAAGGAAATGGTCGCAGCTCAAAAACTACAAATCTATAATCTGACACCATGTGAAGCACAATCTTGTTTTAAATAAACTGGGATATTTCCATGTACATACTGTGTATTATACAGATTTGGTGGCAGGTTAGAGAGACCCTCCGTTTCCTTTTTACCCAAAACGTTGGTCCTCAGATTTCATGGGAGTCAGTGTAAGGTTAGGTCGGCAGACTTTGTGCTCTGAGGTGATTTATGGAAAAAACATAAGTCCTACAAGAATGAGAGTCACACTGGGTGAAGAGGGACAAAATGCCCGAATTTTTATGTATAAATTGTTCATGTACAATAGAAATTGTAAGAAGGAAACAAGGTTAACTGCACTTTTTTGAAAAACAATAAAATGGGTGACATCATTCCTGCTGAAGAAAAATTCAGGATTTTCAAAAAATTCATAAAACTTGAACTGCGTAAAAAACGTAAAAAGATATCAAAACATGGATTTACACGAATAATATTTAAAGCCTTGTTACCTGTTTACACTTTGAATGAAGTTTCTATAGTGAAGTATTCCAGAGCTACAGGGCTCCAGAGATGGCTGGTTTTGGCAGTTGTCCGGCCCACTTCCCATTCATTTCAATTGGGATTTTTAACGTATTTTTTTGCAGATTTCATAAATAACTACCAAAAATTCAAACACACCATACCCGATCGAGCCGCATGTATTGGTATATGATTTGTATGGGTGTTCTCAAAGCTGTGGGACAAGTTAGGCGTCAAACATCGCGTTGGAAGAATAACAATAGATGAGCTTTAATGCTTCTGCACTGGCACAATAAATAACCAGAGATGTGCCGGAACAGAGAAAGGATTGTTCTTTGTCAGCCAAGTCTGTGGCCGACCTAAAAAGCAGTGATGCTGCCAACGCTGAAAGGCATTTTCAGGGTTTTTCCACGGCTTTCAAAATATACTGATTTGGTCATCAGTGGGCTCTTTTCCAAAACAGAAAAAAATGGGGGAACTTTCCAAAAGAAACAAAACAAGTTCTGTAAAACGTGAAGACAAACGGCACCAAGCCAAACAGACGACAAAGATGTGTTACTAATTCTGTTAGCAATATGTTGTTTCACATTGTGCAATAAATAAAGTAAAGTTAGGGACAAGAAACACTAATATAACAGTAATATCCCGTCTCTCAAGTGACTAATTAAGGAAATGGCATTCTTAGTTAAAATGTAAAAAATGCATACTAATAGTTATCATTAGCATCTTTAACACCATCTTTTTCTGGCCATTTTTAACCAAAAGAAGCCAATAAATCATCACTATAAATCTAAATCTAGCATGTTTGAGTCATTTCTGGCTTAACTGTGTTTGTCTCCATGTCCAACAATGCTCTTTTTTTTTTTACTCTATTTCAGTATGAATTTTGCACCTTTATTATAAACACCAACTCTTGTGGCACTTCATTTCTTCGTCCAGTTCAATTTGCATCCTAATTGCATGCTTGTTTTCCTCATTTGTCCTGAATGTAATGTGTGTAAGCTAATGGATAGCTTAAATTTCCCCAAGGCCATGAATAAAGTGTCTATCTTGAAGCTTTATATGACAACCAAACTGATAAAATCGTGGTCCTGTTTTTAGAAAATGAAGACTGCTGCTTCACTACTGAGCCAGGAGCAGCTCCTGGTCAGTCCTACCTCTGCATTCCCTTCCACAAGGAGGCCCACACGGCTGCTGCTGCTGCTGACGGTGAAGGAGACGAGTACTGCCTCAGCGGCCAGGCTCCAGGAACTCCACCCTGCAGGAAGAGCCCGGTCGGGGGCCGGCGCTCCGAGCTGGTCCTGCTGGGCTGCGGAGCTCTACTGGCGGCCGTCGGACTCGGCTGCAACCTGCTGACTTTGGCCCAGCCGGAGGAGAGCATCAAACCGCGGTGGGAGGGCTTCTTCCACAGGTCAGGAGGTCAGAGGAGGAGCACCAGCCCTCCGACTCGAAGACTGTTCCGGCGGGAAAGCCCCCTGAAACCCTCGGCGCCGTCGCTACCAGAGCGAGGTTTGCCGCCCTCGTATACGCTGCTGTCCTTATCGTCGGTGTCCGACTGCAACTCGACGCGCTCGCTGCTGCGCTCGGACAGCGAGGAGCTGCTGGTCTACCGTCCCGCCTCGCCGCCCGCCCAGCATCCTCTTCCTCCCGCTGCCTCACAGCTTCAAGCCTTCCAAACCCCGGTCAACCCACTGGTCAACACTCACCTGGAGAGCTTCAAGCGTAACCCCCACCAGTCTCTCACGCCCACACACGTCCCCTCGGCCCCGAGCTCCTCCCGAAGCCTTCGTCGAACGCCATCGGATGGAGCCATCAAGAAGAGCTGCCCTCCGAATCATCTGGAACCGCTGCCAGAGAAAACAGCGTTGGAGAACACGGGTACAGTCTGACAGAGTGTTTCCTTATTTCAACGAGATGTTGTCTGGTGGATTGACTTACTATTCTATTTAATAAATTATATTTTTGACCATGTTAACCTTTTGAACCCCAAAACTTGCTGGAAGGTTTGAAAGGCACGTTGTGTTTTATAAAACGCCCAAATTATACCATGTGCCGACTGAGAAACTTTAAAAACAGAAACAATCGAGTGATTTTCAGCTTTTCTACAGTCCTTGAATGGATCATGCATGACTTTTGATTTTGTCTGGAAAATTAACTAAATCTGAGCTTGAAATCATGTTCGCCAAATTTGCCAAAAATAAACTGGTTGTACCACATTTTGCTCCCTTTGATGCAACCATGGAGTCATTAGTGACTCAACCAACAGCCATGTCAGAAAAAATCAGGAACATGTCGGCTGAAGGGCAGGCAGTGTTTACACACAGAGGAGATAGGAGACAAGTATAGAAACGAGTTAAAAATCTAAGTAGTAAATATGCAGCCTCACAGAACAGCTAGCAGGGCTATGGCTTATTTGTCTTCACACACAGAATATAGATTGTGTGGGGGAAAAAACCCCTCTGAAACATTTTAACATCATAGACAACCAGGACGCATATTTTATAAAAAAGGATAAAATGAAAACATACGAAGAAGGCTATCTAATGTGTCTGTGGATTCTCAGTGATCCAGGTCATGGTTAAGCCTTTCTGTTTTTCTGTAGTTGAAATAATCATTCAGTGTCGGTGGTGTCCAGAGTTACGTGATGATACTTGATATTAAATAAATCACTAATACTGGCCAATCAAAATATTGGTTGAACCCAATGGATTCCGTTGTAGGAATGTGATGTTGGACCTTCTCTCCTTTATTTCTCTTTTTCCTGCAGCAGCTGGCTTCAGAGGTTTAAAAGAAGACTGTTCTGAGGTTCCCCGTCTCCCCAACCCAAACATAGTGTTCCCCCCAACGCCTCGTCGCCGCTGCGCTCCTGAACGCCCCAAAACTTTGGACTTCATGTCTCGCCCTCGGCCTTCGCCAAGAGCTCGCTGCGACGTGTTCTGGGCAGAGATGAGGCCCAGAGGGAACGGACAGAACCTGGGTAACGGCGAGTCCCCCGCCCACACCTCCAGCACAGAGACTCCTCCCACGGTGGAGTTCGGCAGAGACCCGGCAGTGCTGCCCACCCCCATGGAGGCCCCCACGCCCTACTCCCCCCGCAGGGCCCAGAACCTGCTGGACCAGCAGGACGAGGGACAGTACCGGGACGGAACGGTACCGCTCTGCAGACCGGAGCTCAGCCTTCCCAAAGACTCGCCGTATCGCTACAAACCGGGGTTCTGGTCCTAAGTGGGCCCGGTCCAACACAGCGAGGGGACTGTTCCTGCTGTCAGCCTTTGGATCGTCACAAGTCTGGGTCAGTTAGTGCAAGCAAATTAAATCTGGGATTGGTTCACCTTTCTCCATCTACAATACTGTTACTAAGCTACAGGAAGACATTTACTGTGAATATTTTCTGACATTTATGTTGTAGTTTGCGGTAAAATCTTCCAATTTGGCGTCTAAAGCCAAGTGTCTCCGGCTGCAGCCTGCAGAGCTGGACGGGATGTGATGGTTAATCCAACCCACCGTGATTTGATTGGTTTAAATGTCAGTTAGACATAGATTTAACTGATTTAAATGGTCATTTAAAAACAAAATCAATCTTAAATCTTGACTACGAAGCGCTTTGTACTGTGTTTCTCAATCAACCGTTCACTCACCAATGGGGGTAGAGCTTCCATGCAAGGTGCTCGCCTGCCGTCATCATTCAGGTTCAGTATCTTGCAGAGGAAAAGCTTTTGGCTCTTGGACGGCCCACTCTGCCACCTGAGTCACACCCAAGTACATTTTACTGATAACACCTGCATACTTTTACTTCACTAAAATTAAATGCAGGGTGTGTTTAGTGGAACCACATCCATTTTTGTACCATTTAGTTTGACTGTACGGCATTAAAATTACAGATTTTTACACAGATTGTTTCACAGGATGCTGTTAATCTGGAGCTCCCTGTTGGATGCTGGTCCAGCAAAGCATTTGAACAGCGTTAGCAGAACTAATGGCGGCTGCTGTGGTGGAAAAGATGGAGTGAAATTGGAAAATCTCATCCGCAAGGGTTTGTGAAGAACAAGAGCTTTGTTGATGTGACGTTAAACATCTCGTCAGATGCGGGTACTCAGTATTTTGTCAAGTCAAAATTCTAATTTAAATATCTCTGATCTGATGTTGACAAAGCAGAACTCCAGTTTGAGATATCTACATTATTCCGACTAATTTAAACCTAATTTAAGTGATCTAAAAATCACCATGTAGGTATCTTAAACTGAACCAAATTAAGGATATCTAAAAAGTCAGAATTAAACTGTAGATATCTGAAACCAGACTTAATATAAGTCATAATTCAGTTGCAGATATCCAGATATTTGCGACTGAAGTGGTTATGTCTGCGATCACTTGAATTGTTAAAGTGGTGTAATTTGTACTGTTGAAAGTACACTGTGGATATTTAAAACGTTCTTTCTGACTAAGAAGTACCTGCAGTATGTATCCAGTCTGGCTATTAAATGTTGAAGCTGCTTTCTATCTTTGTTCCGCCTACACAACCTATCAGTCAGACACAGTTTGTTGTGTTTAATGCCGTCCAACAGTTAAACCAGTCAAATCAGGATGGACGGGACTAAACGTTTGAGTGTGTGTCCTTCTGCAGGCTGCAGCCGAGTCCTCCTCTCTAAAGCTGCTCCAACAAACCAGGAAAGTGTCTAAAAGAATCTGATTTGACCTGAGTCTGGTTGTTAATGCGCCTGAAGACAAGAGCAATCTGTATCATTTGTCATTGAACAGCTCGAGGACTTTTAGTTTTTTTTCTTTACTTTGGGCATAAAGTGATAAATGGCTTTACCGCAGAGCAGCATCGACACTCTCACTAAGCTTTACATACTTTTCTTGATTTCAAGCTTGTTCAAGATTGTGCATTCAGTGAAGTGCACTTTTGGAAAGCAACATGAATGTAAAGCTTCAGGGTTTTTTTTTTTTTTCCATTGTCAAAAAAAAAAAGAAAAACTTCTGATTTGCAATTTGTCTGTAAAGTCTTGCGTTGGATTCCTGTTTTGTACCGACCACCTGTCGTCACCAGTCACCTCTACAGAGTGAAACCCTACAAGACGAGGGGGAAGCTCTTGTATAATACGAGCACTTGTTTGCATTAGCGACCTGAATGGGTGTCCGTGAGGAATGTCACTGCTGCTTGGTTTCGAATCGGGACCGAAACACTGTCGGAAAGACACAGCGAATATGTCATGAGTTCTCTGTCTTGTCTGTTATTCGTGATCCTGTCAGAGCAGCACATTTCTCCAAAACTAAAAAGGGAACTTTGTAAATGTAAATCGTCTGCCTCATAAAAAAAAGACGGGACGAGGAAGTTTGTAGACGTGAGCAACAAAACCGATGAAGCAGGCCCTGGCGGCACGCTCACTTCTGATTATTTATATTTGTATTAATTTATTTCATTGTATTTATTGGTTCATTTATTTAATGGTTTATTTTTATAATTTTACTTGCCTTGATTTTTTTGAAGCTCTCCATTAACGTTTTTTTTTTTTTGGTGTGTGTTTTTCAGCGTTTGCACAAAACATCCACTTTTGTTCTGAAGGTGCACCACATCAAACTTGCTTTATGTACATTTTTGTCGGCGTCACTACATATCGAATTATCCTCTTGTTTTCTTTTCTTTAGGAAACACAAGGAAAACAAGCACTTTTATGACACAATTGACTTTTATTAACCTGTGATGGGCATTTTTAAAAATCATTTTCCTTCATTTCATTGACTAAGGATTAGATTTTTTTAATTCGAGACAAGGATTTGTCATGTATTTTTCCAAGCTAATGCATGTACACTGGGTTCTGCACACGACTTACATTTTGTTTCTACATTTTACATTGGTTTGTCCTCACCAGACTGGGCTTCAATGTCTTTTTCAGATCATATCTGTGTTCGTTTTAACCTGCCAGACAACTTGCAACTTGCAAAATTTAGGAGAAATTTTAAGGAGAATTGACTTGACTTGCCCACCAGGTTAGAAACCAAAAAAAAGAGCTACAACAGTTATTTGAAAATACTGAACAAAAACACTATTTAACTTCGGTCTTAATGCCTGATTCTCTCATTTTACTTTCGAATGTTAAGTGACCTCTGATATTTGTCTTTATCCTAAGTGTGACCCGATGTACATGTAAATGTGAATGCTTTCCTCTGAGGACTCTGGAGAACCAACAGTATTTCAACTTTGGGTGCTAGTTGAAACGAAGCTACGGCGTCCGTCGGAAATGTGACCACGAATAAGCTGAACTTACTGTTGCTAATGGACATTGTTCAGGTTGGAAATCATACTGTTATTGACTGACTTGTATTTGCACTGGAACACACTGATTTGAGTAAAATCATAGCAAACGATCCAACTGGTTCGGCGTTTCTTTTGCAAAGGGCTCCGTATTTCTTTATTTATCATTTTTAATGGGCAGTAATATTTATGATAGCCATCGAAATCGATTAAAACGTCAGACTCTGCAGGTCCTCCTCAGATTTAAGGAGCTTTATGGGCTTTTTCAACATATTATTCTGATTTACCAGCCTGAAGCCTCCACATTTTTAATCAAAAGCTTTTTTTCTTTTTTTTTCCGGTTGTTTTTCTCGTAAATTAGTTTTATATTTAAGTAAAGTTCTCATGCTTTTTGGTGCGTAACACCAACGTCTTTCTCAAGCTGTCCACATAAATCTTACATCAAATATGAAAATGCAGTTAAAGGAAGACACTACAGGTAAATGTGGTAAAAAGAAGAAAAATATGCCGTGTGAAACTTCTCCATTTTGTTACTGACACTAAGAGAATTATTTTTGGTATTATAAATTAAATAAATATTAATTAAATATGCACTAATTTACATACTTTTAGAAATAAAATCTGGTTCAGAATTCTCTCTTTATTTCATATTGACATATCTAGGTTAGTTTTTAAAGTAAGTTTTTACTGAGGAGATTCTGAATATCTTTCTGTATTACTTTGTAAATCAGAAATCGCTGTCAGCAGCCAAAAAATAAGAATAAATTCACTATGATTTTTGAAATAAAATGTTCTATAAATCAGCCTGTAAATGATATATGAACAATCTCCTCTGTAAGAACCTTCAGAATATAAATAGGAATAAAAATAGAACGTTTTGTGCTGCCAAAGTGGAGATTTCTTGGTCAAAGAAACGGGGAATGAGGTATAATTCTAAAGTGGCATTTAAAGATATATTTTAGAATTGAAATCTATAGACAATGTGTAGTTAAATAAACACCTAAATGTACGTTCTGGATGTTTTATTTCCATTTGACTGCAAGAAGTAAAATGTGAGCAGCCACAATGTACATCAACAGCAAGTTTACTAAGCTCTTTAGTTTTGCAATCGACAAGAACTCAGTAGAAAACAACCGGAGCTTTTTAATTCAATTTAGTCTATCAGAATGATTTAGAACATTAGAAATTACCAGAACCATTTGAAGTGACATAGAAGCTGCATTATCTCTGAATTTTTGACAATTTCAAGGGCTCTGAATAATTCTAGACGTGGAATTTTTAGTAAAAATGTGAAAGAAATAAAAGATTATGTAGCTGAAATACATTTTTCACTTGATAAAAGAAAAAAAAACCCCTCCCAGGCAAAGATAGTGTTGCATAAATGCAAATTTGATATGAATATGAATCCTATTTAAGACTGCAAGGTGGATCAGTGGTTAGCATCGTCACCTCGCAGCAAGAAGGTCGCCAGTTCGTGTCCCGGTGAGGACACCCAGGATCTTTCTGTGTGGAGTTTGCATGTTCTCCCCGTGCAGCGTGGGTTCCTCCCACAGTCCAAAACCATGCTGAGGTTAATTGGTGATTCTAAATTGTCCGTAGGTGTGAATGTGAGTGTGCTTGGTTGTCTGTCTCTAAGTGTAGCCCTGTGATAGACTGGTGACCTGTCCAGGACCTCCAGCCCCCCCATGACCCTAGTGAGGATTAAGCGGTGTATAGATAATGGATGGATGAATCTTTTTGGGCCTTCACTGCAGTAAGTTCTCCACTTTCAGATAACAGTGGGTGTGAGGATCTCTGCTTCATGCCTCCAAAAACGAGCACAAAACAATCTCAGTCAGCTTTGCTTCATTTGTTTATTTACACATGTGCTTTCATCAGCTCTCCTCCATCCATTTGTTTCAGTTTATGAGCACGATAAAAATGTAGAAGTGAAGGGAAACCCATCGCTGCAGCACCACAAAAAATATCT